ACTAAGATAGCGTTGAGCTGAAAATTATTAGCTGTCTAATAAGTTTGTCTTTATCTATGAGACATTAAACCCCTTCAGGCGCTAGTGATTTCAATTATTTTCAGTGTAAGTTAAAAATGCCATCAAACAATTTCTAACAAGCGATCTTTAAAAAGGGAACACAATTCCTCTGAAAGCTGGCAGTAAACAAATGTAATTTCGCTAAAAAGATCTACTTCACTAAACAACCTAGTCACATAAACTCAGAGTTAATTCCCCTTAGGATTCCAATGATACCAACTGAAATCCCCTCCCATCCAATTTTATATGGAAAAATAAAAATAAATGAAAATTCTAAGGGCCCCCTTCAAATGTAGTTTAAAATCGAATAGTTTCCAAAAATGTCCGCATTACTTTTATCTATATAGGTAGTGTGATAACTACAGCTGAAAAGGCCAGGATAATGTGGTCTTTTTATAAGGCAACATATATATTCATTTGTCTGGCTTAATAAAATACCATTAAAAGTAAGGACTCCTCAAAAAACTTTAGCCTCGAAACCAACAGAGGATATCAATAATTCTCATTTCAGAATAAGATATTGAAAAGATAGCTTAGAATAAATTTATGATAAAGGTTTGTAATATCTTGAAACAGGTTAAGGATCGAAAGAATTGGATGGCCAATTGATCACACTCGTCGTGATACTCTTGTGAATTTCCTAAAATGGGGACAAAATTTTGAGCCTACTTGTTCCAAGGTCTGCTCCCACTTATCCAGTTGAGCCTTTGCTACATCCAGTTGCCCAATAACAGCATAATTTGCCATAGCCCATGCTTGCCAGGCAGGCTGACTGTCAGGTGCATGCTCAGTGGCAAGCCTGTAGCATTGCACAACAAAGGCTTGTGCCTCATGCCAACGGGACAGACGAGCTAGGCCTAATGCAAGACCTGACAGCCCTGTTGATTGGGTAGCCGACTCGCATTGGTCGTCGCGGCCATCGAATACGATTCCTGAAGCATGAGTCAGTTCGTTTACTCTAGTTGGTTTGCCGCGGCTGAGAATAGGCTGCTGATGTTGATAATGGAGAGTGTTTTGG